TAATCGAAAAATAAGTAAAAAGAGTTTTTGTTTCGTTTTGCCTTCTGTATAAACAGCGACTCAGTCGGTTAGATATCGAGCCAGATTTTTAATAGACTATCTGATTCAGCTGATAGAAACACGTATGTATTTTCTATACATTGATATCATAGACATAATACAGTGTAAAATACTTGATAACGAATAGAACTCATCCAAGCGAGTATCAGAGAACTATTTTTAAAATCTTAAATGAAAAAGTAGATTTTAAAAAAAAATATACAACTCTTTTATATGCAACTTTACTTCAGATTTTATTGAATCTTAAGTTTCTTAACCCACTCTACTGTTGACATCATTCTGGCTTAAGATGCCCGAAAAGAAAAAAAAAAAGAAATGAAATGAAATAAACAAAAAAAACAAAACAAAAAAACGTAAATATAAACAAAAAGTGATACTAAATCATTCCCGGCGCTATAGGAAGGGCTATGGTCGACATTATCTCCCACGTCAGTTTTTGCCTGAATTGAAAAAAACAAAAACCGAATATTGGCGTCAATCTATGACAATGCTACTGAGCTGAACTATATCATTTGTCTAAAATCATTATTGACATGAATTTTCAAATTAAATAATAAAGCTACATCTTTAGTTGTTGTTTTCAAAACATTAGCTTCTAGAAATTTCATATAAAAAGTCAAATCTATTTAAATGTTAATTTTAAATCTATACACTGTAAAAAATATATTTCAATTTTAAATAAAATATATTTGGAATAGGATAAGATATTTAAAAATATATTCATTTTATAAAACGATGAGATAAAATAAATTTAGAATATAGGATATTTAAAACTTAACATCATAGCAAATCCGTTTTTTATTTTGTGTCTATTAAGTGTTCGAATGTTGATTGGTGAATTTGTGTGATAGTAAAAGAATTTAGGTTGCACCGGTTGTGGTTGTTACTATTTGGATCTTAGATAATTAAATTATGGATTTTATGCAAATAAAATTCATAATTAAAGGATCAGGATAAATAGGCGATCAAAACTTTCCTGAGGATTTATTATTATTATTATTATTATTATTATTATTATTTCCTGGGGGTCCTGTTTTCTACACATTTCCTTCTGAATTCCAACCAGAGACCTAAGGTCATAAATGACTTCATGACAATTTCCATTGGTCATTTTTTGAAAAAAAAAATAGCAAAGCAAAGATAACCCATATTTTGCATAGATGAATCTCTTTGTAATGTGTAAGTTGTGCTTGTGTGTACACTTTTTTGCATTTCTTTAAGAAATGGCCGACCAGGAATCCCTTCATTAAGTCTATTGGAACATTTTCCCATCAATCTGAGGACTTCAACTGGAAATATTAATGCCCTCATGTGCCACATTTTTTAGATTTCCACTTCAAGATCCTTGTATTTTGATAATTCTTTTTTTTAAGATCTTCAAAGATACATCATAATCTGCAGAGATTGTCATGTCAATAAGAAATTCTTCTTCTTATTATTATTATTTACTCGCGTAACAACATTAACAGTAACATATTCTGAAAATAACTTTTGCCCACCACATTTAGAGAAGGAATACAGACACTATGAATCAAATATATATATATATATATATATATATATATATATATATATATATATATATATATATATATATATCCCATTATTCCGTCAGTCGTCACTAATCGAGCATATCATATCATCATTTTTGTTTGCTATTTCCTTGCATATAAAAAGTTTATTGTATTTTCCCGTCCTATTTCTTACCGATCTGCAACTGTTACGTGTTATTTTTAAGATTATGCCAGCGTAACTGACGATAGGCGGAGCATTAACATACAAGTGACATCTGCAGTCATGACCAGAATGAGAATTTCGAACTATATGTTAGTAACTCCTCTATATTGATGAAATGTGTATCAGAAAATGTATTTATTTTTCATCAGAAACACCCATTTTGTATTGATTGTCTGTTGTGCTTTAATTTTTGCAGCGCTTGCAAAATTAAGACAGGTGTTACACATTGTCAAAGAGTGATCTTAAAAATGTGCCATGTAAAGGTGTTCTAGCACTCAGAGGTATTTGAAGGGGGATAAGATAGCCAAATGTTATTAATAGAGAAATCTGTCGACAAATCATATATTCAACTGAACATTCTCAAACATAAAAAAGGCATATGAATATAAACAGGTTTTATGGTCATAAACAATGAAAGAGACGACATGGATATAATGGTGTAAATATAGAACTGAATTGTTTTGATAATACCATTTTAGGGCACACGTTTATAAGCTCGATAGAAAAGGTAGCTTTTATAGAAGAAAAATGTAGTCGAGATGTATATTATGAATAATCAAGAGTAGTCTCCCCTTGTTTTGTTACTCTCCTCTTTGAGATAGCTATTTCTGTTTACTGGGACTATAAAAGGACACTATACGCGAACCTTGTATTCCCAGTTAAATAAAGCTTTCTTACAGCCTGATAGAGAATAGAAGAATTCACAACAGAATGCAGACAGCACTGGACGGTCATTTCGTCCTATTTTAGGACTCATCAAAAGTGCGCATCCACTACTTCTCCATCAAGTCAGTCGAGAGAGACTGGATAAGAATGAAATAAATGAGAGATGTAGATTAGAAAGCAAGAAATGGAGTGAGATAGCAAAAAGTAAGAAAAGTGACGGAAAATGAAAATTAACATGAAAGAACTTAATCAATTTGGAAACAACTCAGAATATAAAAACTGAGGTTCTGCTTCAAATTCTAAACTTACCAAAGATGTCTTCAAATATAAAAGGAACCAAAAAAAGATTCTGTTTTATTACCTTGTTTCAATAAGTCTTTTCACAAAAACCTCGGAATATATTCCATGGAATTAGGAATAATATTACTAAGAGTTCTTGCCAATAAAATGTTATTCATATTCTGAACTTAGTTACGAATCCCATAATGTACAATTCCTCATATTAATAATAATTATTTTAAGAATAGTAATCATATAAAATCAATACAGTAAAATAATGAGAAAGAATGAATATATTTTTTCATCTTTTTCTTACAATTCGTGAAAAGCGCTAAGTTAATTTACTCTACATAAGCCTGCACTGACACTTGCTTCTTACATAGCCAAATACATCCATGCAAAACTTACTTACCAGACCATTTAGCTAAAAACTGGACGAAATGATTTATAGGTGCTAAAGAGCAAAAACTTTACATACGCCCTGACATTTGATCAGGAGATCGCGTTTCTATTTAACTTGGCTGTTCTTTCTCGCTTTCGTTTCGCTTTTCCACCTCGATTGGTTTTGTAAAAAGCATGGAAGAAAAAGCAACAAAGAGAGAAAGAAAGAAAGAGGGAGAATATAGGAGAGAATTTATAACTTATCGTGAATCAACACCTGTTAGTGTAAAGGATGAAATGTCGCTTTATTGTCCACGAATGTTAATCAATTTCAACACGCAACAAGAACTAGCAAATAACAAAATCTCCGTAAAGGACGACCTTATTCTCAAAAAGAACATACCTCCCCATACACATACATATATAAGTGTGTGTGTGTGTATGGAAGAGAGAGAGAGAGAGAGAATTAAGTAAAAAAAATGTATTTATTTAATACTTTGGACTGTGCATATATACATTGCAACTTCGGTTCTGGAACGTCTCACTTGTCGAACAAATCGGTTTTCGAACAGAAAATTCGAGATGAAACTGCTTCGGTCATCGAACAAAATTTCAGTTCTCGAACAACATTGCCGAACCGAATTAACCCGAACGGAATAATCGCTGACTCGACTTCCGTGTTGTATACATTCGTGTATAGTGGCGTGCTTCTCTTTTCCAATTTTATTGTACTGTGACTTTTTTCTCTACATTGATTCCTATTGATAAAATAGTTTCGGTTTACGAACATTTCGGGTTACGAACGGCCTTCAGGAACGAATGAAATTCGTTAACCGAGGTTCTACTATATGTGTGTGTGTATATATATATATATATATATATATATATATATATATATATATATAACATTCTATATATAAAAATATATATCAGATAATGATAAATATTTTATATATGAAGAATAGCATTGGGGAAATTGTATGACAAAGTGGAACACAATTCATCGGATGAAGACCTGAAAGACGAAACGCGTCACATGCAAACATTTTCGATTTTGTCATATGTGTGTGTGTGTGTGTTAATTAAAAAAAAAAACAAGAGGAAAAACTATTCATAACCGATGCGTTTCGTCTTCTAAAGGGCATTTTTAATGCGAATTTGGATTTATTTTGTTGCACGTGTTTATATAGAAGAACAAAGATGTCACTGGTTATAAATATTGCTTAAACTGTGATTAGTTTGTTTATGTATATATATATATATATCATACTTGTCATGCGGTTGTCAAAATTATAACCAATTATAATATAGTCAAGTAATAAATTGTGCATCTCAAATGGTTGTGTTAGTAGATTAAACGTTAAATGAGTTCTAATCATTTAATATACTTGTTAGATTTATTTAAATAAAAATGAAGTTCACTTCGCAATGATGCCTAAAATATATTAACAAGCTTCGTCTACGATTACAAAAAACTACATCGAAGTCTATTCCATATTGCTCTAAGCGTCTAAATGCTGAGGTTTTCTTGGTCTGAAATTATTTTTTTTTTAATCCTGGCTTTTGAAGGAGCTACGAAGTGCGACCCTTGGTAGTGTTGATAAAGCAAAGTCTATCTCAGACATGGTTAATTATTCGTTCGATTGAAATTGCTGTTCCTCTGGATTATATAAACCACGCTAGGTGGTTACTGCAACAATTAGATTTTACGGAGTGGACTTGTTAGTCTCGCGTGAACTGGTTTTAGATTCAGAATTTTCCTCTTATAACCCTACGATTTAAACAGGGAGAGAAAGGGCAGATTCGCGTCTTTCCCAAGGGCAGTAGTGCGAATCTAAACGAAACAGACAAGCACGGAATTTAAACTCAGCTCAGCA